CTGCCGCCACCGCCACGGGAAAGGACTCCACGGCGAATACCAAACCTGCGTGGAGTCACATGGAATAACTCAACTATCTCCTGAGTCTGCAGTGCCTTCAAAATGGAGGAAAAAGAATAGGAGGGGCTGAACGTGCTCCCTTGGGAGGCAAAGGCGGATCCAGCCGATCTTTTTGTTTTTTTATTTATTTTTTAGGGGAAGGATCATAGATTTTTATTAAATAATTAAAATATTTGTTACAATACTGTCTATTATTTTTCTTGTGAATGTATACAATATTGTATACTATACAATATTATATTTTTAAATAGTTAATAACATAAATAGATATTTAAATCAATTTTGCCAAATGAAGGTAACAACCGAAAACTCTAGGCCTCCTTCCTACATCCGCTACTGTTTCTCACCAGCTGATCCTCGCCTTCGCATGGGCTCGTGCAGCGGAGCGGAAGGGCTGAGGCGGACCTGCCGCTCTCTTTCGGAACTGGTGTGCGGAAATGAAGCCCCTTGATGGATGATGAGCCCTGGAAATGAAACACTTTGAGCCAAGTCAGTGCCGTGGTGAACAGTGTATTCCTAAAGTAATGAAGTGCGAATGAATGGTTATGTATGTAATGAAACAAGTATGAATGATGTGGGAATGTAGAGAAACAAATCTCACCTGTAAAATAAGAACAATTTCTGTAGTAATTAACAAAACTGATCTTATTGTAAGTTAGTAATGCCAAAATGCAAGTGAGTTAAATTTAGGGCTAGAATGTTAAACTTAGCTGTAAGAAAAAGCCTCTCCTTTAGCTGCTTAAGCTGCAAGGCAGCAGTTCAATGTAAAAGTAATATGTTCTATGTAAATAAAACTGTGGAGGGGAGAAAAGAAAACTGAAGCCCGCAACAACTCCCCGCCGCTTCATCTGTTCCAGGTCTTACAGTAGCAATGCGACGACCGAGAGGATGAGTGCGGTTCTCCCTTCCATGCATGAAGCAACACCATAAAGGCCTTTGGCCGGAAGGTCCTAGGGATTGAATTGAATTGAATTGAATTGATGTCTTATTTTACGAGGCGAGACTCAGGCCTGCTCTTCCGTCTGACCACGCTCCTTTCCCACCCACTAGCGGAGAAAGGAGGTATTTCTTGGGCGACGGAACAGGCGATTTGATTTAGCTCAGAGGCTTCATTTAGGCTTGAGGATCTTTTACATGCCGTAAATCTAACACGGGACAGCGGCTTCGATCGGGTTTGAACGCGGACTTGGGTATAACACAGTCCGATACGTTAACCATAACACCATCGCCACCGCAAAGGATCGAGGGGGTAGGGATCGAGTCCCGACGCTGACAGGATTATCAACACCAGCTTTATAGCTACATGATTATAATATGTCGAATTTTGTCGCTCTCTGGAGGAGAATTCTTGCGGTGTCCTTGAGAAGTCTAGGGAGATTGTGGATGTTTTGAGGCGAGGGTGGGGTTGAGGGTAGGGGCGTGGTTGATTTATTACATCTCATGTTTGTAGAGGTGTTTTAGGACATTCTAGTTTTATTTTCCGATAATTTTCTAAAATATTGACATTTGTCAGTGCGGATATCTGTCCGGTGCGTCCCTTCCCAGTTTCTACTTTTCGGAGGATTTTTCTTGCTGGGGCAATTTACAGAGTAATGATTCTCGTTACGTGTACAAGATATTTATTTGTAAAAATTATTTTTAGTATGTCCAAACTATAGACAATAGAGGCACTGAATATATTCCATTTCTTTTTCGTCTTCTTTCAACTTTAATTTTTCAGTTTCTGACTAGTCCGGAGAATTAATTCTATCGTTGCCTGAAAACTCTGCCGCTTCCACTGAGATGGGCTGATTATCTTTTTGTAACCTGGCAACACTATTAAGAGAGGAGAATTATTCCTTCAGGTCGTTATAGGCTTGATGGAGGGATGAATGTTTTTGAAAACCTCGGACATTTTTTTGTATATTTGGGTCCTTATACTTATGAAATTGTTAACAGTTTCCTTTTCTGAAGTCTTCTGTACTTTGGAAGTTAACTTTAGCTTTGTTATTATTACAAGTTACGGTAAATTGCGCACTGATTTGGGTTTTAATTTACTGATTAGTTCAAACATTTTTGTAATATTATTGATGTATATGGGAGAGATTCTAATTTTTTTCAGGTATAGCGGGGTTGAAGGCGTTTGCAACATCGTCATCAGGAAGGTCAGCTAGACTTCTGAATCTATTCTTAATATTATTATCAAAGTTGGTAAGTACTTTTTGGATTGATTTGAGTTTTGGATAAGATCACTATTTCCACACTTGCTACTGTTCACATGGGAGATCGGAACGAAATTTGCATTAATATTATCACTGCACTTGAAGAAGTGATTTCACCTCGGATGTCACATAATGACTGACCTAAGTTGGTTGATTATTGACATCATACTTGATATCAAGTTTGCGAAAAATTACATTTCTGGTATTGTTTAGATAGTAACAAAATTTATTTTATGGAATGTGTTAAGCAACAAAAAAAGTAAATTATTTTTTAATTACCTATGTAATTTCTTGGTTTTCTTGTCACTGCGGTGCTAACTTGATATCAAGTTAGCCGAGTTGTTTAATATCTGAGTAAAATGAAGAGCGACAATTTTTTCGAAACAAATTAGCAACAAAAAAGCGACAAATTTTGAGTTTAATTTCAATATTTTTAAAAAAAATCTTTGCTGTTGTAACTTTACGGAGCTATCGATGGGATGTCCTCGCAATGCTCCTGCTATCGTCGTAAATTTTGGCAGCGGGAGAATTTTTCTAATGTTCCCCGAAAATGCTGTTTCATAATAATATAGTATAATTCGATCTATTCAATTAATGCAGCCCGCGAACTGCGCCTCGGGTGAAGCGACTACATGTCATTTTAATTAACTTAAAATAATATGAAAGCCCTGTTACGAATCTGTTCTACATTAATTCCTCACGAACGAATTTTATTTTACATGAACCTCGAAATCAAAAATTACAAGGCAAGCTAAGAATGATACCCTCAAATTACAAATTATATGCATGGACAAATCACACAATGAACATAAGTTTCCCACTATCAAATTGTTACCCAGCCTCTCAGCAAAATGATTACCATCCACTTCTATTGCTGCCAAGATAGAGACTGGCCCACTCTAAATAATTGCCGAACCTCGATTTTCAACCCCGGGTCTATGCTTCGTAAAAGAATATTGCGTTCAGAGCTTCGAGCACGTTGTCTGACGACGTGTACCAATAGTATTGGTCTGCATACTATTGGTATGCATCCAATTCTAAACTTAACATATGTTCGATATTTCCCTTTGTTAAATAACTGGGGGAGGGGGGATTTCTGGTGTATCACACTATAACTATTGTAACCATGAAATGAAAAAAGTACAATATGCAATCAAATGACGTTAACAGTGAAATAGGTTCTACTGAAATTCATATATATTATTTCTTATAATTAACAAGTGAATTTATCGAACACTAACTAAATATAACAAAATGTTTTAACGTTCTATTTCTAGCGCTTTTGTTCTTGCTGTGGCGGAACACGTAGCGTTCTACATATTTTGGGGAAATCTTATAGCTCCCAGACTTTTAGGTCACAAAAACGAATTGTACGAATAATAAGCAAACCCCAGCCACATGATTTTTTTAAGCATCTCTTTATTAACCCAGGTATTTTACCATTTCCTAGTTTCTTTGTATATGAATCAGTAGTTGTTTTTTTTGTCAAAAATGACTTGCTTAAGGACGGGAATATATTTTCAATAAACGCTGTTGTCTATAACTACTCGACGTTAATCATATTCAAAAGGTGTCAATATCAACAGCTCACTGCAAAAAATTCACATTCAAAACATGTACATTATTTTACAACACCTTCCCAGATGACATTAAACCATTAAATTCGATACAAAAGTTCCAAGTAAAATCTTTTGTACGGCACAACTATTTCTATACAATTATAGAGACTATACAGAGCATCCAAAAGAGATCAGGTTTTCGTCCAGTTTCCCTGATCCTTGAGCAAATGCTGAGATGATCCCTTGTTTTGCGTCTGGACATTAATGTAACTTCAATTCAACTTCATCCTATATCACGTCACATCCAATTTTAACTGTTTTTGACATGAATAAATAAATCCCGTTTTATTATTGCCCCGGGCCCAAAATTGTTGAGCTACAGCAATGTATATTAGCTTAGGGCTTAGGATTTATCCACCTATTCTCTACCCGGGCTCCACAATATGAGTTTTTGTCTGAAAAAATTACAGTTCTTGCCCCAGAATTTCATAACTTTCTCTATTCTATGTATATTTGCTGTATATACGTGTACATGAAAGTAAAAACAAAATTTTTATTGTATAGATTTTAATAATAATTTATTGCGCCATAGAAATTCAAATGGAGAATCGAGTAAAGAATACGAATTATAAAGAGATTTTCAATATATTTTTTCATTACATTATCATTCCGTTTTGAGACGGGATACTCTTTATTGATTATGAATAATATTGTTGCTATTTTGACAAGCCCATTCTGAGAATCTTATTGATGTCTTCGTGCTAAGATGATTTGTTTCAATAATATTTCGTCCCTATCATCATTGTATAAATACCAAGACATTCTTTTTCGCGATTTCAACATAAACGCAGTAATTTATCTTTAATTACCAATGAAATAGCAGTTTCTTCCATCCTTTCATATTATTCATGCCAACCAATCCTATCCTACCTGTAAATGTAGCCATCTTTGAATTTCCAAGGTTGCCAAGTAGCTCAAAGGCCTTGAACTATACAAGTCAAATAAGTAACTTCATAATGTTTTCTATGTTAATATTTTTACTCTTGCTTCTGAATTAAGAACATTCTGATGAAAATACCCTTCTGATATTGTGTAAATAAACATTTGGAAAGAATTCAATCTTTACTTTTGGGAATAAGTACAATTTAATGAAAGCTGAAAACCTGTAACCCATCTTCCTGCTGCGAATGGTAGCGTCCAATCGCGTCCTTCATGCTCAAACGTATTGCACGTCCTGTTCTTAATTGCTGTCCTGACTATTCGACATATTGCCGGCATAATCTAGCGAATACCAAGGTTAGTACGAATTGTTACATATCCAAATAAGGCTTGATTTTTAAAATTAAAGCATTACACTGGGCACTTAGGTATGTGGTAAAAGTAATGTGGAAGACGATGTACTGTTTTACTTCAACACCCGGTTCCGTTTCAGAACCGGTAGAATAACTTTTATACATTTTTATCGATTGAAGCAGATAATAGTATTCGGTTTCTCAGTCGTATTCTGGAAAGTATGCTCAATCGTATTCTATGAAACTAGTGTTGTAGAATATCATAAAAAATATTTCTCAAGAAATGGTATTTCGTTGTTGGTTTTGTGGTTGCTGTGGCTGTTTCTCAGATGTAAACAATTACAATTTGCTATTATTTTATTAACGACCAACATTTAAACCCAATATTTTAGATAGTATATTATAACGTGAGGTTACAGATTAAATTCGTATTAAAGATATCTCGTTTCGTCAGTTAATTTCTTGTTTTCAGGTTAAAGGATTTAATGATAAAAGAAAACAATGAAGAATTACAAGTTTACTTGTTTATTGTTTACCAAGTCTTTTGATTTGGAATCGTTTTATTTCTGACATGTGACCAACACATTTATGGGCATTATATTAAAATAGAAAGTTTGACTTTTAAGTCGTCATATTTTTCTTTTATTTCTTATTTTAATGGCCTGTTGCCTCAAGAAAAAGACCAAAGAGAGCCAAAACATTTTTTTAATGTAAATTTAATATGTATCCATTAGTTCTAGGAGGTAGAATTATTTTATGCTAATAAAATATTCTTACAGACATTAACATTAAGAAAATAGTAAATTTAGTGGGAATAATTATTTTCTAATTTTTGTAACTTGGGAAATTTATTTTTCTTATTTCTATATAAGATCTTTTTTCTGTACTATTTTAAGTTCCGTAAGCTGTAAAAACACATGTAATGAACTAAGGAATGTTTAAATAACTTCATTTAATAACATTTTTTAATGGTTCATGTACTTCCTGGTGTAACAGTGTAAGTTAATTTGTTGTTGAAGAGGATTTCACTATTTGCAGTAATGTATTTGTTTTGGTTAAATTTTTCTTTTAGGAAACATAAAATGTAGGATTTCACGGTCAGTTTCTACATAATTATATGTTCCCGGGTTTGTAGGTCGTGGTCCATCGAACCGTTGGAAGCATTTAATTTTATTTTCTTCTAGGTGCTTGTGTAAACTTAAATTTTATATATTGATGAATAGCTCAACCTTTCACTCATAGAAGTATCTTTCGTAATGCATCGGTTTGGGTAGTCTTATTTAATTTGAAGAGATCGATTCCAAAACGAACAGTCTTTATAACTTTTTTCCAATTTCATTTTCTGGTTGAAATGCATCTAATCAGATAGAAAGAACTTCATTTCAAAGTTATTGTGCTGATAAACTTTTTTCCAAATCACACTTAGTCATTTATTTAAAAGTGTAAAAATCGCTTTCTGTAGAGAAAGAAAAAGCATTTTTTGACAGTATTTTTGAACCCACCTTTCCAAACGTGATATGTGTAGTTGCTGTCACGCACATAAATCAACCCATGATTCAACTCTTGATTTAATGTAAGAATGTTACACAACCTATCCTCAAGAATGATTCCAGTTCAGTTCTAAAAGTTAGAGGTCACGAAAGAAAAATGAGGGAAATAAGATTTTATTCACGAGTGAAGTTTACTCTTAGGTGTGACAATTTTCACAAGTGCATAGAGTCTATTTTCGTCCAAGGTATTGGAATGTTATACAGTACCACTGTTTTTAAAAGTAAAAATTTAAATGAAATTCCTTGTGCAGCAAAAGTAATCTTACATTACTATAATGAGAGGAGACAAATTGATGTAGTTTGAATGTAAGTGAATATCATGATTTGAAGTTCCTTTTTTCCTATTTGATTTCAATGTAGTGACTTCTGATGTTTGATCCGCTGGATCATAGTTATCCAATTGGGAGTTTCAATTCCATAAATTAAATCATAGCAAAGCCCCCATTGGATAACTGCATCCATCGACAACATAAATAAATTTTCTTGTAACATGGTTCAGCCGTAAGGTTTAATTGGAAATACGATGGCAATTGCAAAGCGAGACAAAAAAAGAGACAAATTTGCCAAGATGTAGGGTTTCGCTGTACAAGTTTGTAATCTTTTTAAAATCAGAACGTTAAAACTGTGATGTTTTGAAATGGTCATGTAATAATTATTTTCGTGTGAGATATCACTAACCATAATTCCTAGAAGAGATAAATTTCATAAATTAATGATGGTCATCAATTCCTTAAATACTTTTGTGTTACACTACAGACTGATTTTTTTTCTTCCCTCAGGCATGAAGTCAGCAGCTGCTAGATCTCCTAGTCGACGCAGTAGCCCACCGCCTCCACACAGAATGTCACGTCGATCTCCAAATTTTAGACGTGGCAGAACTCCTGAAAGAAGACGACGTGTTGATTCTCAAAGCAGTAGAATGTCTCCTCCAAGGAGCAGAGAACGGAGAGAATTCAGGTCATCTCCTAGAAGGTAAAGGAAAAGAGGAAGATAAGACAAGTATTTGCATGCTTTTTAACCTATTGAAGGCTAAAAATGCAGGCACTGCCCGTCCTCTGCTTCCCCGTGTTCTGACCGAAGACGGGCAGTGCCCGCCCTCTTTTTGTTGTAGTTTTATGTACTCCCAATTGACAGCTAACATGTTTTTATTACTGAATGTGACCCCAAGCTGTTAGAAGTTCCTTGCTCAATGCCAATTGTTTTCCATTGATATTACAGTCTCTTTGAATGTTTTTGTAAACATGTGGGATCATGTTGTTGACTGCTATCATGGCTGCCACAAGGCATTCGAAATGAGATATTTATGGAATTGGAAAAGTTTGCTAAGTGTGTGACTGATGTTTTGAATGACATTGATGAGGAATTATACTTGTGATATCGATGGTATGGATAGTGATGCAAAAATTTGAAAGTAGTCTAAATTAATCACCAGGAGAGATAGCCTAGGGCATCAACTGATGTCACTGCAGTCCCTCTGACCTCAAGGTTCTAGGTTCGAGTCCCGACAGTGGCAGAATTTTCGACACTAGCTTGTCAGCTAGGTCAAATTTGGGTGCTATCTGGAGGAGAATGGACTCGTTTATTTCAGAAACAGGTCAAACACCAAACTCCACATTTTGAGAAAACTGAGAAAAAATCTCCTAATTTCACTGATTAAAAATATTTTTATTCATTAAAGCAGTTAATGAATGAATGTTTATCAAGTAAATATGCACTAAACGATGTGACTATCGTCTTGGAGCAATAATCTGCTGCTAATGTGTGTTTCAGATTTTGGTCGTTTGACAGGTTTTTGAAATAAACGATTCAATTCTAGTGGCCAGCTGTTCTGATTGATAGTTTTCCATGGTTTCTCCAATCAATACCACCCGAAGAAACGGCCCTTCGACCATGTGCAATCTTTTCTACCTCTTCTTTGTCCTATCCGCACCCCTTAAACACACACACTACACTACACTACACTACCACACATGCCAGGAGACCAGTCAGGAGCTTAGAGCTTGTCTCGGCTGGGGCTGTGCTTCGCTGGTGGGAGATTACTGGTTAGAAAACCCACTAGCCGACAGTAGGTTGGTGCTGGATCTCCCCATACAGTGGGGGAAGACCACCGCCACCTCCCAAGAAAAAACTTGCTGTACATTTAAGGAACTAATGATCATAGTAGTTACGGTGCACGGAATCACTCACTTTGAAAATAAATATTAACATTTCTTTAATTATTTTTCGTACAAATTAATTAATTGAAAAATATATAGTTAACGTACTACCTTGAAAAATTGAAATAAACAATTTATGTAAGCCAATATAATTATTATTTTATATATTCATTATTATTTAATATATTATTTGATGCAGTTGTGTGCCGCTGAAATTAATTTGGCCTCAGGGACCACAAAAAGTTCAAATTAATCTTGATGGGGTGGATTTAAAGCACTGTTACACGTGGATAACATTTATTAAATTTCCCTTATTTTAAATTTTTTTTTGAATTTCTCATATTTTTAACTCTCTACAACATACATTTTTTACATTTTCAATTACATGCACATGGACTGAAAATTGGTGTGACCTTCAAGAGGATGTTCAGCAAGCAATCACTAGTTTTCTTTGCTCGTGAAGCGGTAAGATCTTAACCGGACATCCAGAAATTATATTTGCAAAACCATAATTTAATAAATACTAATGCTTTGCCTATCTCCCATCACTTTTCCCTAAGACATGTTGCCATGTGGCAATGGTAGGTCATTCAGAGAAAAAGAAAACTATTTTACATCACTTATGTACTTGTTTTTTATTTCTTACAATTTAGAGGACTGTGATGACTGGACCTCAGAGACCGGTAAATGTGTAATAGTATATTACCTATACTATCTTTTAAATCTTGCACAAGTTTTGAGAAAATTTTATAAGTAGTCCAAGGTTTTTTGGATTCACAGTTGACTGGATGTGACCGGGTTAGCGGCCGCACAACGTTTTTCTCAATAGTCACTGGCCAATGCTTTAGTTCGTCGTAGAGACATTTTTTACAACATAATTCTTTTAATGCACTCTGAGTATTTCGAATTTTCCTTCATAGTAACTACCAGTAATTTTTGGTAATGTGACTCCTAAATTATTTCTTCAAATTAAATGTTTAAGATAAATTTATTTAAACTGTAATGGGTATAAACCGGTGGAAGCTAATTACATAAATAAGGTAATATAGCTAACATGCAAATATAATAATATCGCAACAAATTGTTCCATATTCCGTTTACGGAGGAACAAGCAATAAATAAGCAATTTCCTTTGTGTTTGCCGTACTCTTTTATAAGGTGCACATTACAAAGTGAAGAGATCTCCAGGCTTTCCCCACAATAAAATCTACATGTCTTTTCCAGCTTAGTTTATTATCAAAATGGATTCCTAGGTTCTTCAATGAGGAAACTCCCGTTTCCTCCGTAATTAATTCTTCGTTAATGTTATGTTAATTTTTTTTTGAAAATATTAGTAGAATAGATGAAGAACCAGGCTAGGGTATTTATCATAATAATTTATTAGACAGAAAGAGGAATTCAGTCTAGTCCCGCCCTGTAGCGGAGCCTATTTCTATCTATTCTATTGTATCTCCCCTTCTCCCTACCCTGCCCCTCTCTGTCTTGCTCCCATCTGGAAATATCCGGTCTTCTGTATTCATTAAAACACTTTCTCACTAAAGAATATTTATATTTTTTTATTAGCGTTCTCAGGTCCAAACTTCATTCACTTTATTACTGAAAAGAATAAAACAAATCTAATCTAAACAAAATAAAATACATGTACTAACTTGTATTCTTTTTGTGGAATTTTATCTATTATTCCAATACTTTCAATCAATTGTCACATTGTAAAACTTGTTTTTCATATTTTTTCTTCACACATGTTTATAAAGAAAAGTTTGAAGTTGATTTTGCCTCAGCGATTAACGTTTAAATATTATTAAAGTATTTTTAATTGAATTTGTGTGAGCCTTTTATGATCCTTAATAAATAATGGCTGCCGGAATGGAGAAATTAAACGTTTCTGATATTATATCTCGAAAAATTCGAGATCACAGTGCCAGGATCCCAGCTGGCCAAAGATTTTATATTATCTAAAAGTAACCTCTCTTTGTTTCGTTTTCAACCATCATGAAAACAAGTGTCAACATACATTAAATTCCTCTAAATCCCCCACTTACCATTACTGTTTTACTTCAATTATACTTTTTTCTGAACTTTCTTCACAGTAATTAATTATTCCTTCACTTCCCAAAGGTACGCTTTCATTCTCTACTATAATGAAAAACTTCCCTGCAAAAATGCATCCCTCCGTCACAGTTTCAGCATAACACTTAAATCACTCATAATATGTTTTAACTTGCACTGTTGCAAATACATAAGAAATCATGTTTAATTTCCTGATACTAAACATGTGTGTGTTCATACCTTTTTATGATAATATTGAGCACATCCATCAGAAAATGGTTACTTCCAATTGCTGCATTTCTGTAGTATACTTGATGTATTCATGCCTAGGTGCAATTAAAATTAATATGCAAGTTACTTTTATAAAGCGGAGAAAACTTGGAATCATTTCGCAGTAGACAATTGACAATGAAAGTAAACAAACATTATTCTCCTATGACAATGGTTTTCAAACTTTTTGCTGCTGTGACTCCTTTCAGGTAACCAATTCTTCACATGCCTCCCCTCATTAAAATTAAATTATTATTAATAAGAACTACATATATTTCTCCTGAAAGTAAGGCCCTGTATACTTTTTTATTATATACTTACAGTGTACAAAATAATTATTGCAGCTGATTTGCACTATTCACTGCTATAATTACTGAATTTATTTACTCAAAAGTGAAAAAAACTGTTAAGGAATACTATAAAAAACAAACATATTGATAGTCCAGAAAAGCTAGAGAGATGGATGGGCTTGTTTGGTGTCATACGGTTTATCAAATCTCAAGACTAAATTTGAAATGGCAATACTCAGCTCATTTTGGAGATTTACTCTTGATCTATATCTTGTCTTGATTACTGCCTTGACTGAAAATCCTGATTCACATAGGTACGAAGTGGCAAAAGCAAATAGATCACGCAAGGCCTTCTTACTTATCTGTGGATACTTATTTCTTATGGAGCACCAAAATTCAGACAATATTTGCAATTTGTTGCACTGTCTTTAGTGTGTTGTCTGATGAAAGATCAATAAGTTATTCTTCTTCTCCTGTTGTGAAATTTAGAAATAATTAGAGCATTGTTAAACATTAGAGCAACTTTTTTTATTCAATTACTACGAAGTTTTCGTGCCTCCCCTCTGAAACTATCCACATTACACGTCGTAGTTAGAATAACTCTGTCCTATATGCAATTCTGTGCATTGATAAACTCAATTGTAGATCTCGGATATCATTCTCTGGTGGCATGCCTCTAAACAATTGCACAGTGATGCACTTTTGAATCTGTGATGCAATGCTAGACGAAAAAAGTCCTGAAAAGTAAACATTTTGTTAATATTTTGTTTTGTGGTTGTAAATCATAGCCTATAGTTCTCCTGACCTTTAAAGGATGCTAGAATAAAAGTTTCATTGATATTGGTCCAGTAAATTCAGATATTATCGTGCTGTAACACAATGCCCTTGTTTTTATAAATTAGTTTATGATTTTGCATATTTTTTCTTTTTGCTTCTGGGCATAGCTGAGTGAAATTTCTTGATATTTGGTGAGAATTGGATGGAGTGTAGATTAATATGTTAGTGCATATTTGGCCAATTTTTCCTGTTGGTCCATATATCTGTAATTATTGAAGCATATTTAGCAATTTTGTTAAAATAGTGATTTATCTGGAAAACATATCATGTTTATAATCTATTTACTTGTGAGTATTCAATGATTAAAAAGAGCTTGCCAAAGTTCGAGTTTTTTTATTTTCTAGAGGTGATAAAATTTTTCATCAATCATTCTTCTTCTCAATCATTTTTTTAAACCAGACAGAAGCTAGTGGTGCTATAGAAAGGCACATCCCGTAATGTTTTCTACTTTCTTTGGTCTTGGCTAGCTATTCGAACTTGCCACATACTCTTGCCAGCTGCCATCTATCACAACCCAAATTCAATTGTTTTTTTTTTTTTAATTTTCTCAATTTTTCGGTTTCCTAACAGAGCAAGAATGTTAAAGAGAAGTAAAACATCACCATAATTGGCAATGTCTTTAAAAAAATTGAAGCCGTTTTTATGAATATGACGTTCAAGAGATTCTGTAAATTCGAAATTTGAAGGTCTTTTTCACTGAAAGGTTTTGAGTTTCAAACCTCATCGGTCTGGCTGATGTCGCGGCCCCTTGAATTTGAAACCGATATTTAAATTTTGGAGCGTACTTTACGAGAAACCCGTGGGACATTTCCCAAATTTTCAAAAATATGGCTTCATCGGTTTTCATTAAATTTTGTTGTTGCGTGTTTAAGGAAATTCTTCTTTAAAGGAAGGTCTCGTGTTCTTTAAAAACCCCGATTTTTTCAAAATTGCGAAAGTTCGAAATTTTTCCGAGTTCTTCCTACAACTAAAATGTTAGAGAAGATGATTTTTTTCCCTTAATGAAATCTGCTCCTTTAATATTATTTCCTTATAATTTTGAAATAAGGCCATGCACAATTTTTCGAAAATTCCCGTACTTTTTGCGTAATTTGCGTGAAAGTCCGGGCGGGATAGTATGTGTTGTTCTATCATCTTAGGTCTTTTACCTTGGTAATATTTACATCCATAAGTTCTTCCATTAGGGAATTGAAAATTTCAGGTACTGAAAGTAATTAGTTTGGGCAGCATTAGATGGCAAATGGATTAGGGGGACCAAACTGCAAAGCTTAACCCCTATTTCTTTTGGGTGTTTGTATGATGTTTCAGGGCAAGGTTAGCCCCATCATCAGGCAGCAAAAATACAATATTACTTATATTAACATTGAACACTGACAAATTTTTTGTGATAAAACATACAGTGATCTTAATGATAATATTATTGCATTGTCAGCACTTTAAAATGAATTAAAATTTAATATAATTGAATTAATGCTATGCAAAATTATAAAAAAAATACTCTCATAATGCACAAAAAAGGTTTCAAATCTTAATAAAACTAATTAAGTGAAGTAAAAGAAATTTGGAGACTTGCAAATTATATTTGTACCTCAAAATTCCCATTATGCACAGAACTTAACAGTACTTGTTGAGCTCAAATGGGTGAAAGTTACAGGTAAACTGTAGCAGCATGACTGAGAGGATTATGCCTGGTTATGCCAGTTAGACAAAAAGGATAACAAGGTAGGGGAAAGTGGGGCAGGGGGGATTGGAGAATAAGAAAGGAGAGGGGTTCATTCATATAATTAATGGTCCTGGAATTTGGGTAAAATGTTTTCTTATAAGTAGGTAAAATTGTGACTTTTAACTAAGATGTTTAATTTAATGTCTCAGAAACAATACGATGATGGTACCTGGATTCTTTATCTAGAATCTCATACTTTTCAAATCGATGTTTTGTAATTCAAACCTCTGTTGTGCTCAAGAATTATAATTACAAACATTTATAAATTAGAATTGATAGTGTATAGTATAAGGATCCTTACAATTATTCCAAAGTAGCCCAGACTAATGACGTTTGGAATGTAGCTAGTTTAAAAATGTTTATACTGTTCTGTAGTACCACTAGTTGGAAATAATAATTGTTTTTGAGTAATTTTTATTTAAATTGTGAGAACTTTGCCACAATCATTAAGAATGAGTCTCATGTTCATTGAAATCTCTCATGAATCATTAAAAATGAGTAGTCTCAAGCACCTAAATTTTCATGGGTCATTGGTTGAATGCTGGTTTCTTTGCATAATGTAAGTGTATGCAGACTGTGTCTTTCTTTTTCTTTCTTTGTTTATATGGTAAAACGTGTCAAGGTATTATGAAGCTGTTCGTGAATTTAATAGCATGCTCCTGCAAAAAACAAATAAATAAATTAGAAAGCGATGTCAGAAATGGTGGCGTTAAAGGTGGTGGTGGGTGTAGGGGTGGGGATTGGAGGATTAGAGCAGCAGTACCTAGGAGCTTTTTTCTTATTGGTCCTCTTTATAAGAAACAAAAATGCAGGCTCACGAAGGCCCTATATCTACCTGTCATTTCAAGAGTTTCACATTATTTCTTTCCCATGCATTTTTGTGTCTGACAAATGAAAGACAGCAAAACATTTTTGTGCACACCATTGTTTCTGTTCCACAGTCAGTGTGTTTCATATTCTCTCCCCTAAAGCTAAAGTATCCAGCTGGAGAATGGTGAAGAAATGAGTGGCTGAAGTGTGTGAATCAGAAACTTCAATGTTGAGGTTGAAATGTTAGTCTAAGCAAATAATTTTGCTTTTACTTTTGTGGACTTTAGTTAGGGATAAAGCTTTAAAAAAACTCAATAACACACTTTATTTTATTAAGAATTTTTGCAGAGATGGCTGGTGTCAGTGGAATAGAAGGTGCAATATCATATTATGGAACTGTTACTATTAATACAGTAGAGAAAGTATATGCTGCTGTAGCACTATTAACTCCTTGAAAATTGAAATGAAACAGGTTTTAATAGAAAATAGTGTGATTTGTATGTTTCCTTGCTTTTATTTTTCGATTTGTTTTGAAAACATGCCTTCATCTTGTCTTGCAGTCAACCTCCTCCTGAGTTTGCTGTTCCGAGAAGAAGCAGATCTCCAATACGGGAGTCAAAGAGAAGATCATTTTCTCCTAAAAGGAAGTCTCCTAAGCGTGAACGTCGTGAACCAGAGCGTGAGCGTTCTGCTCGTCCTGCTATGAGTCGTAAGCGCTCTAGGTAAGTCATAGGATATTGGTCAAATTTAAGCAAAATACAGTGGAGGCTAAAATGGCACTTAGAATAATTTATTATGAAAACAATGGAATTTCCTGAACAAACCTTTTCGTAGTGGCCTATGAATGAAGAACCGATTTTGGAACGTATTTTATTATCCAATATGTTTTCTACCCCTCTACCTACACCATCTATTTATATCCTGACTGTGAATGTGGATTTGCACAAATCCTCTATTAAAAGTTACCCAAATTTTAACTGTGTTTTTTTAAAGGAAAATTGGCTTTAATCCAATTTCCAAAGGTCCATGTTGTTTAGGTGTGTTATTAAGGAGACATTTCCTCTTTGGCAAACAATGTCGCAAGGGCTGGGCTATGTCAATGGTCTGCTGACTGCCTGATTAGTTGAAAACCAATTTCAAGATGTATAGAAAAGCTGCAGATGTCTTCTCCATCAGTCTATAACAGGCTGATGCCAAAATGTATGGTCAATTTTATATCCTTAGGAAAAGTATGGAATTTGAGCTGGCACTAGCTATATTAATGAAAAAAGATACTTGTTTTGCGCAACAATTATATCAGGGATAGAGGCAATTTACCCTTTTTTACAATACGAAGGTTGCCTTTTATGTTTCGGGATTTGGCAACCCTGGTGTTGCAACCTGGCAACTGACAGCTCTATCATAAAGTTGGATGTTTTGAGGTTATACGTACTTACAACGTTTTGACATACGAGCGCTATTTGTGTTGTTTACAGGAACTTAAAATATTCATCTTGGCCCAAAAATGGAATTAAATCGTGAACATTTTCGTGCTATTATTTTTTACAACTTTCGACGTGGATTAACTCAGCAACAGTGCATGGATGAATTGCAGTGCAATGATTGAACTTAATTCAATTTTTGACGATGAAGCTCCATCAAGAACCTGTGTTGATCGATGGTATGGTGAATTCAATCGTGGTCGTAGTTCACTCCAAGACGAATTTCACGATGGTCGTCCAAAATCAGTTGTTCCGAAACCATTGATGCTGTCGTGAAAACTGAATTGAAGATAATGTGACCTACGAGAGTTGAACAACCTTAGGCATTAGTGGACCAGCATACATTCAATATTGCATGAACATTTTACTGTCAAAAAAAAAATTGTTCGCATTAAGCCCACACAATTGTCCAATTGCTCAAAAAAAGGATCGTGTCATTGGTCGAAAGAAATGCTCAAAAACTACATGCGCAGTGCTTCGAAACACGTCATGACATCGTGACAGGTGATGAAATCATGTATTACGCGTATGAGCCCGAAAGTAAACAGCAGTCTACTGAATGGTGTTTCAAGACGAGCAAAATTGAGACAAAAGTTGTCCGCGTACGAAGCACTTCCAAACAGATGTGTCCTGTTTTTTCGGAAAAACTGGACATGTCGCAACCATACCACTAGAACAACCCAGAACAGTCAATTCTGAGTAGTACACAACGATTTGTTTGCCAGCTGTCTTACGGGAAATCAGGAAAACCAGCTGCCGGAAATGGATCACTCTTCACCACGACAATGCAAGCTCTCACACATAGGCTCAAACAACTGCATTTTTCAGCACCCAAAACATCGATTTGATGAGTCATCTGCTGTATAGTCCTGACTTCTTTTATTCCCATACGTAAAAAACAAACTGAGAGGTCAACTTTTTTCGACGCCTGAAGAAGGGATTGCTTCATTCAGAATGCATGTTTTGGAGATACCTCAATCAGAGTGGCAAAAGTGCTTCGATAATTGGTTCAAACGCATGCAAAAGTGTATAGATCTTCACGGGGAATATTTTGAAATACAATAAAGTGGTTTTTGATTATTAATATTTGTTTTTGTTTTCTAATCCTGAAATATAAAAGGCAACCTTCATATACCAGTGATACATGTCTCATATCATGAATTCATATTTCGTTATGGAAGTGGTGAGATGGAATGTATTCTTATCTAGCATAACTAATAATTACTAGAAGAAGAACAAATTTACTTTTCATAACTAACATACATATAATGGAAGATGGAAAGAGGCAACTTTCTTTGAGAACTGAACTTAAATGCATAATGTGGATGATGGCTTGAAAAACTCTTCATTCATTTAAAAAATAACTTATTCATTCATTCGGAAAAGACAGTGTATTAATAAAGAAATTTTTTGAAGTTGGTGTGGAAAGTATAATATCAATTGCTCCAGGGATAGGGGAAAAAGTAAAGATGCATGAAAAACAGGAAATGTTCTAGGAAATTTTTAGACATGAACAGAGCTAGAATTATTTAGAAATTTTATTTCTCAGAAGAAATGTTTTGTAGTATTGTGCATTTCTGTGTTTCTTTAGATAATTAATTACATTAAATTAAAAAATATGCTTCGAGAATATTCTTGTCACATTTCACATCTCCACTTTATCACACCGACTTTTTTCTTTTAAAGTTAACATTTCATTTATCAACAAAATACTCAGAATTTTTTAAACAATAACCAAACAGCAAATACCACAGGACAACAGAAACCAGAGAACTAATCTGGTTTCTGACAAAAACCGAAACTATCACTTGTTGTCTCTTTGCCCTCCCATCTACTTGTCGAGGTCAGTGGGAGAATAAACAAGTGGGAATAATAAACTTGGGATGAGAAAAGCGTGGGGGTTTTGAAGTACAGCGTTGTGGCCATCAGCATGTCTTGTCTGATGCTCATCTAAATAAGTCCATGAAAGTTTGCTCAAAGCGTCCACCAAAATGTTTTTCCTATCACATTTTGGCACAAATTTCAAATTTTTCAACTGATGAAATTGGTTTTATTTGTCATTCACTATTGTCCACATTGTTTAAAAATCTGAAGAAAAAAAAGTGTTATAGAACTTTACAAGACACATTCTAGGGAGAAAAACTGAGTCAATACTCTAATGTTATCATGTCGAATATCAATTTCCTTTGGAACTGTTTAAGAGAAAATAATATTAAGCGTTACGTAAATGCCAAATTTGAAGCACTTTTTCACGGAAATCATTTGAATTTCAAAAACTTTTCTTGGAAGTCATTTCAATGACTTTCACACTACAATGCAAAAATGTATACTAATCGCTGGAAAAGTGCGTATTAAAGGCAAGAAAAATATTTCAAAACAAAAATATTTATGAATGGCTACAAATAGTCTCTGAGTACCTGAACTTAACCATTTTCTGTCAATGATCGGTTTAGTTGGACCAGAGGACTCTGTTCATTCTATGTATAAACAGCTCCCATCACCATTAGTTTGCACAATGACTACTTGACAACTTGGGTCCATTGCTTCATGGGGTCTATGCTGTACTCAAACCCTACCATCAGCTCTTACCAACTGAAATTGGGCTCTGATCAAGCCACAGATTTCCAATTGTCTAGGGACCAATTAATGTGGTCATGAACTCAGGAAAGGTGCTGCAAGTGATGTCGTTCTGTTAGCAAAGGCACTCAAGTGGGTTTCTGCTGCCCTGATACATTAAAGCCAAATTAATTAAATAAAAGGTGTTGTCTGGTGACAAATATATATTTGATACCAAACAACACCTTTTATTTATTTAATTATTAGAAGTATCTACCTCACCAGCAATCTTATTAACTAAAGCCAAATTTCGCCACTCTGTTTTAATGGATACGATTGTCCACATTGATTTCTACAGTTATTTCACGCAGTGTTGCTTATTTGTCGCGCATCACGCGCGGCAATGTTGTAACGGTTAGCGTTTCGGACTGTTGTACCCAAGTTGGTGGGTTCAAACCCGATCGAAGACGTGGATTTTTAAGGGCGAAAAACACTTCGTACGCCTTCCTTCGGAGAGGAAGTAAAGCCTGCTGTCCCATGTTAGTAAATTTACTTGCATGTAAAAGATCCTCAAGCCTAAATGACGCCTCTGAGCTAAATTCAAATCGCCGGTTTCTTGCCCAAGATATGCCTCCTCCTGCATGGTCAGACGGAAGAGCAGGCCTAATGGCCTGAGTCTCGCCACGTAAAATAAGGCATAAATTCAATTCAATTCAATATCTGTAGTCATTGCAAATGTTGGTGCTGTCAGTCATTAAGTGAAGGCCATTGGCCATTGTGTTGTCCATGGTGAGAGGTTTTGCCTGAAATTAGGTGTTCTTGGAACACTCTTGATTCTGTGGATCTCAGGATATTGAAGCATCCAATGATTTCCAAAAGAGGGTCCCTTGCGTCTATCTCCAATACCATTCAGCATTTAAAGTCTGTTAATACCCATTGTGCAGCCTAATAACATCAGAAACCTTTTCACAGTAATAAGTGCAAATAAAAACTCATCCAGGGTAATACCCTTATATATAAATATATAAATAATTACTTTTTTTTGCCTGGTGTGTGTGCCTATTTCATTTCATGAAATGTTAAATTTTGTAGGTCAAAAAGCCCACCTGTGGTTGTTGGTCCTCCCTTGCATGAAAGTACATCTCGACTAGGTCCATACAGTGGACCTTCAGAAGGACCTCCTGGACGGTTTCAAGGGCCTGACACTTACACATCTCCAGAACCTATAATAGAGATACAGCATTCAGGAAGAAGTATTAGTGGACTTAGTGAAAGGTAATAATTGTTAAATAGTTTCTGAAAATTGGTAGGGGATGAGTGGCTAGAAAGAAAATTATCAAGTTCAAGGAACTTACCTGTCTACGATGGACAAATTTTTGTAATTTAGGTCATTTTGACAAAGAGCCACTGTAAAAATTCATTTTATTGAAATATTTTTAAAAAAATGTGCACGTGAGCTAGAAGTGAAAACAATAAAGGTGAGTTGATCAATAAAGTTGTTCATCAAAGTATCAAGATGAAATTTTGTAATTTAGATTTGCTGAAGCTAGTCGGGGTAGTTATGAGGAGGAACATCCAGATCGCCCTGTATTTCGTGGACCAGATCGGTCTACAGGAGAGTTGGAGAAGATTCCTGTAGATGGTCATAGTGATCGTCCCTTTTTCCGTGGACCTGATGGGGCTGGCTTTGATATTAATGAACTCAAGAAGATAACTATGAGCATTAAACAGACTTGTTCAACTAACCCTACAAGAGTCGCTAGAAATATAATAAGACCAGAGGATGTTGTATTAGTTCGCCGAATTGGTAAGTGATACATAGTACAGTTCTCGTAATTTGATTTCATTTGAATACAAGTAGTTCAACAAGAAATTCAGCAAATTAGTGTTGTGTCAAGCAGAGAATTTGATGTTAAATTTTGAAACTTCAAGTTTTGAAAGATGATTCCCTTCATTGAACAAAAATTGAAATTTATGAGAAATTTGTTCACTAGTTCTCGTGGTGTGGTATGAACCAAACTGAATGTTAACTTTTTTCCCTGTTTTGTGAGATCTTTACATTCTGAAGCTTATTTTAAGGATCTTTTAAAATGAACTTTAGTGATCTTGTTTACAATAGTACTGCCTTTAGATTAAATAAATATATTGTCAAATTTTGTGATTAAGGTTTTACTCTGTTTTCTTGATTCTTGATGCAAGTATGTTCACCTGTTAAGAATTATTGTAATATCTGTCTGTGTTAATGGATTTAATTGATCATCCAAAAGAACTTTCACTCTTAATTTGTTGTGAAAGTTCAAGAGCTTTCTGAACAGTTTTTGCCATTTTTACCATGATTTTAAATAAAATTGAAAAAGAAAATAGACTCTATGTACTACTAAAATAACACTTTCTGATGAAATGCTATTCGGTTTCTATTCATACCATCCATTGTTATTATTTCTCTTGATTCACTTCCCTTACATCTTGTGGATATGTGATCCCTTGACAGAAGTCTTTTAAATTGAATTCCTTTGTCATTATTCTGTTTACAAAAATGAGTATAATAAATATAAATAAAAATTTCTCATCCTTAAGTAAAATTAAAATTTTCAATATTCATATGTATAGTTTGTGCTAAAAAAGGGGCACATTCAGTAGGTTTATTTATATAATAATTTTTTATTTGTTACTTTCCAGCATAATTAATTTCTTTCTTTCTCTACCCCAGCACGAGAAGATTACTCATACTACCCTGAAGGTGAAAAATACATGGATAATATTATATTTCAATTGCAACATTTGTTTATGTGGTTTTCAATGACATGAAGTTAGGAAAAACATCACTAAAATTCTATATAAATGCTTTTTGGTAGGAAAAATAATCTCATAAGATTATTATGATAAGAACATAACAACGAGATGTGAAAGAATGTGTTGAGAAAGAAAGAAAAAAAAATGAAGTATTAAATGATGAAGTACAAAGTGAACTGCATGAAGAATTATTTCAAGTCCCAAAAGTGAAGAATTCTATTGAGATGTCTTTTTAATTTGATAATAACTATAGAAGATTAAACCTTAAGGTAGTCGGATGCTCAAAAATATATATAGTTTTTTAATTATTTTATGTAAATTTGGGCTATTGGTGAAAGTTCAAATTTTTCTGGACAGATATAAATAGAATAGTCATAAAGTGATGGTGAATGATCTGCTAAATGAATGTTGGGAAAGAACACTGCCAAACCAAAAATAATAATAATAACAATAAAATAAAGAAGTGGAAGAATAAAACAAAATGTAAGGAACACGTGGAAAAAAGTATATACAAGAGAGAATATGTTGAAAATACATTGATAAAATTCTTTAATATTTTGATCACCATATGAAATGTTCTTGATGATGGAAATTTACAGTAATGAAATATTTAATTATCTGCTTTTTATCTTTACATTTCACCTTTTTTGAGAAAATTAATTGTGTAAAATACCTTGCCAAAATTGCAAAATATGTTCTGTGATATAAAGATTTTGTAAATACTGATAATACATTTTCTTGAGAAGTGCATTTTTATCATTATGTTTCTGTTCAAAAAATATCTTTCATGTGAAAAACAGAACAAAATATTAGCATTACATATGTAAATATCTTCTTAATAAACATTTAAAACATGTGAAGCAAATGAAGAAATTATAAAACTTTGGAAAGCATGTGATAATAATAACTGGTCTACTCAAACTTTTGAAGAAAAAAGTATGGTACCATTGTTTAATATAGTTCAAATTTGTTCACAACAGTACATTGAAAGTCAAGCAGATATTAAGTGAAGTAATAATTAATGATTGTTGACAGTATAAAAATGAAAGTCTACAAAAACAATAATTACAGAAATTTAATTACCATTTTCTCTTACATTATTTTGAGACAATAACTTAATTAAATTTTTCTGAATAATTCTATTAAATGTTTTTCCTGGGGAAAGTGATAAAAAGAATTTCGCTGTGGTGATAAAAACGAGTGTATGAAGAAATGACCAATGTATTTGAAAGAATTGGAAACAAACAAAATAAGTTTGATTCATATACACATTTTTCAAAAGAATAAATCATCTAATTGATACCGCAAAGAGAGAATTTTAAAGAAAATACAAATTTATTTACATAGACTTGCAACAACACTTCAGAAGCATTTATAAGTGAATTTATATATTGAGTAATTAAATATGGTTGTGTATGTTTTAGTGTCATTTGCTTACATTTGTAGTATATTAATTGTAATAACCTTTCTTTGTTTAGGAGGGTAAGTACTGTGCTTTTGATGTCATTACAAACTCTTCATAATCTGTCTCATGGTGTGTCAACGAGTTACAACGATGATGTTTTTCATGAGAGGCACTTGGTAATTCCAAAATTCTCTTTCAGTTCTTTGTATGGACCAATTTCCACACAGGTTAACAAATGGTAAATGCGGCGCAGAACGGTGGTATGCAGTCCTGAATCGTCGTGCAGGGAGCCAGCGAGGCTAATGCGATGGTTGGCTAATGCGGAGAGTTGGTAGGTGGCGTGGGGATATCAAAATATAAATGCAACAAGAATGCACAAACACAAAAAAAATGCATCAACTGACCGTGACTTTTCTACGCTGCTTTTATACTATCCATGACGCTGCATCCGTGGTAAAACAAAGTGCGCTTCAGGACTTCACTGTTTAAACAATTTATGATCCATTCGCTTCATGACTTACGTGTGCTGCATGTCCTTTTTTTCTTGCAATTTTTGCATTTAAATGAATCGATGAGTATTCAATTTGAGTATCAGTCAAGAGGAAAATAATCTACTGACATCATTTAGTCTCTGAAGAATGGATGAATTTCAACTTCCTACAAGCTCTTGGTGAAAAAAAGGGGATTTATCATTAAAGTATGAGTTTCATTAATAAATGCATATTTGTTGAAGAACGAATGTATTGATTGTTGATTTGCTTTTGAATTCAAACTACTTCATGTATCACAAAACACAGAATTGTGCTAATTTGACTTCAAGGCAAAATCATCATACTATAGTGAGTGAAACATTACAATGAATAAGTTTTTAAGCATACTATAATCAAATATGGACAATCTATGGAATAACCTACTGGAAAACATCAATTTGAATATCACTCCTGAAAATTGCAATATATTGCCATTGGATAATGAACTCGTGCTTCATTTATGAAGATGCCATTGAAACAGTCTATAGGATGATGTTACCGGCATTTAATTTTAGAATTTTACGTGTTTTTTTTTAGTGTTGTGGAGTATTGAATACAATATTTACATTTGAAGAGAGTGAACATGCAGAAACTACATTGCAAAAAAGCCAAGAAGATTGCCTGACTGTTCCACTTAGTTTAGCATATGTTCTTTGTTCATTTCAACACTTCAATGGTAGAAGAAATATAAACATTTCAACTCAGAATTGTTTGAAAAGAAAACTTGCTGATCAATAGGCACTTCTCAGGATCACCTTCAGAATACAGAGAAATGCTGATACTTGAAGTTTATAGTAAGTAGCCATTGCAGTATGACTAGCCCCCTCCAAATCATTATTCCAAAAGAGAAGAAAAGATGGTATTGAAGAGGACTTCTGGTATTTGTATTTCTGGTTAAGTTTTATCTTTTGTTTATCAAAATGCTAATGAATGAAAATTTCTTCTACATAGTAAAGGAAAAGAATCTAAACACCATTATTACACTTGATTTCATCGTGTTAGGAGGAGCTTACTTCTGGATGATGGGCTGTGAATTACATACCAAAAGGAGAAGAAGACTGACAAGGAATACGATAATGAGAAAAAAATATTTTTTAATTTTTTTTATTAGATCTACTGAGAATTTTGTTGAAAAATAATACAAAGCTTATGACCAGTGAAAACTTATTTGTTGCTGTCAAATCTAATTTTGAATACACTAAAGGAATATCTGCTCTTAATGCAATGTAAGAAACCATGACATTGTGAAAATTGTTGTAATGGCGTATTAGTCTAACAAATCCATTTTATTAGCAGTGAAGAAAACAAACGTTTGCTACTTTCTGAGAGTTATTGACTGTTGTCTAACAAAGTGGATCGTTGCAAGGTGGTTGCTTCTGATTGCTTACCTGTAAGGAAATGGTTTGATCTCATATGAATCTTGAGGAACAAAAAAACTCGGATTGTATTCGACCTTGATTAAGATGAAACAAAACAAACATAATGTTTCAGTTCAGCAGTGTGAAGTTGCCTTAAAAGAAGAAAAGTATGATCAAGAAGGAATGAAATATTCAAACTATTCATCAAAAAATTATATGCCGTCATGTTAAATAGAACAGAAAAGGATAGTTAAAAATATAAGCACGGCATTATCATCAATTTATTTGAAACTCTTTTAGAGATGAACAATTAAAACTGTAACGTTCAATCTGCAGAAATCAAAATTTCAACCTGAAGATACAAAGATAAAAATCATAACATCAGGTACCCTACTCAAGGACAAGCAGAACAACTCATGACTGTCATCTATTGAATTGTTTAATATATTGTATCATTTCTCTCGTATTATATCATACAATACATAAAGTACACTGATATTCACGATTTATCAGTGTTGCTGCTGCCTTTACAAAAAAATATTATTTGTGCAATAAAGAACAGCAAATGTTAAAGAGAATTCTGGATATGATAATAACCAGTAGTGATTGTCTTGAATATCAGGTTAAAGAACAGAAAAACTATGTATAAATGCCCTCTGTTCTACTTTGGGAGACAATGGCATACCTATTTGTCAAAGATTGGAAGAGTAAAGAACGAGTTATAAGACGCAAGTAAAAAAGTGAAAGAAAAGAAGTAAACCTACGAAAATAAATTAACCTAATGAGCGAAACAAGAATATTGTAGGAAAAGATAAGATGGTTGCTAAGTAAGTGGTAGACATTAAAACTGTTTTAATAGATTTATGTTTGTTAATTCTACCGGCATCCTAATGATCTGGAATGATATTATAAATAGATTTGCGATAACTTGTAAAATACCTGGAGATTTTGTTTTGCATTTTATACAAGATACGAAGGCTTACACATTCAGAAGATTATTATAAGGAGCCACTGCAGCACATCTATTATCTTCACTTTCCATTCAAAATTGAGAACTAAAGAAATGATTAGAACACAATCATCTTTTTCATTTAAAGAAATTAATCACAAAACAGAATGTTTGTGTTAGTGAAATGATGAATTTTCTCGTAGGGTTTGTAAAAGCGGATTGTTTATGTAATGTGAAATAGGACAGTTGCAGTGTCAAGTATTCATCATACACATGAAAGAATGGTATATTGAGAATTGTATACATGACCCCAAAATATCCGAGAAGTCAATAAAGTTTATGCAAGGTTCAGCTTTGACCAATTATTAAGATATGAAGAAAGTAAAGTCCTGTAAATGTTGCAGTCAATTTCCAGGATGAGATATAGCATGTTCTGAAAATTAGAAATGTTTATGACATTCAATTTTCAATTATATTAAATTTCATTACTGTCATGTTGAAGTAACCTATAATCCAATCAAATTTCAGAATTTATTAAAGATAAGAGAAGATCAATTGAGGTATTGATAAATTATAATTATATTTATAAAAGAAGACCATCTTGTTTTGTTTTTCAATTAAATTGGAACCGCATAGTTGGTCGATTCAAGATTAATATTACTGATCCTTTGTAAAAGAAGCAGCCCGGCAAGTGTTCCTGAATAAATTTTGTTGTACAAAGTAGCAGCCCAAGAATTGTGTTGCCACATTGATAAAACTTATAAAAGTGCTTTTGATAACCTGAGGAAAGAATTAATTGCTAGGCAGCGGGTATTTATTGCATTGAAATATTTGGAACACATGAGGCTCTAGGGTCTATACACCCGGGATTTATAGATTATAATTGCTGTGCAGAGGTTGTTCATAAACATTCTAAATTTCCTTTGAAATCATTGAATAAATCTGATTCCACTGCTGTCCTGTTCGAAGAAAATATGGAACTGTCGTCTCATCCTGTTTCATCTTGTGATATGATTTTGGCATTAGCGTGGAGCTGACTGGAGTACAGAAGGCATAAACATTCTCTTTTGCTGTTTTGTCTTCATACTGGTTCATGCCTTTTAAATTCAGCAGGGATCATCGAGAGTACATCTTTGACTTTTGCTTAAAAGAAACAGTTGAGACTGGCAATCGAATGTAATGATCTACGTATTGGCTTTTCCTGCAGAAACTTCACTTGATGGGGAATACACTTCATCTGAACGTTCTCATCATGTATCCCGTGATGGCTATGGACATGAAAATAGATCACCGTCTCCTAAATCAAGACGCCGCCTCTCACCATGGGAGCAAGATCCTATGAATTTAAATCCTCGCAGGATCAAAAGTTTGTACCTCTTCAGTTCAATTTTGAAGATTAAAGGGAAAAGAGCTAATAACTGTCAGCAACTGTCTTTCATTTCTATGTGCGTTAAGTAGTGTTAATCTTGGTATTTCTGCAAGTTTCAAAATTTTTTTAAATCAAATTTTCTTTGTTTAAAAGAGTGACAGATATTGGCCATTATATCCTTTAATCTTAAAGGAGAGTAATTATTATCAGTCTGAATGGTTTTTCTGAAATGAACCGATTTCTGTACGCAATGATGTTGTTGGGTATACAAAACTTATACATGCTCTATTATTCCTTGGAAAGAGAAAGTTGAATTTGAAGAGCTAACGTAGTGAAGGAATTCGGATAATTATTTGTTTTGGATGAGCAAAGTGATATTTAGCATAACTTTTTAATATTTCTGAATAAGCAGTTTAGCATCAAGGGTGGAGTATCCTAAAAAATGAAACCTCAAATGTAACTGGAGTGTATAACATCGAATGTAACCAGAATATGCCAGGACAAGTTTATCTGCCATTTTGGTGAATTCTTCTGTACTGTATGATGTTTATTTCTATTCATTTTTTGAATTTTTTTACTATTCAACAACATTCAACTTCACCATTCAACATTCAACTTCAACATTCAACTTCAACATTCAAGTTCAACATTCAACTTTAACATTCAACTATTCGACAAGTTCAAGTTGCATTGATGTCTAATACCAGATGAAACATTGCTTACAAGAGATGGAAGAATGACTCATAGTTTATTGCAGTCATCTACTTGTCATCAGTCTCATCTGTTCTGAATATTGCAACTATTTCTGAGCACAAGATTCTACATCCAATAATCAAAAAAGCAAGACATTCAATTATTTGTTCACACCTATTGTATCTTCGCTCTCCTTATATCACATGGTACCATTATCTGTTGTAAAATTTGGAAATTTAAAGAAGTTGAGATTTTATTACGAAGAATGAATAAAGAACTCCACTGATTTTAATGTATCATATATTTTCAATTTTAATCAAGATGCGAGCAATCAGAAATAATAGTTCAGTATGAATTGGGAAGCATGTGATTTAAATTTCAAGAATTGCAGGTTTGACTTCAGCACTCATTTTTCTTTTAGTTTTGAATGCTTAATGCCCAGCCCAACATTGAAAATTTCAAAGGAAAACTGAATATCTTTAACAAACAACATGAAATAATTAATGAAAAATTTGAAATGTTATAATTACAGAAGAATGTTAAAATTCAAGATGTCAGAAGAATTACTATTTTGAATGGAATACATATACACCATCAATGTATTATTTGTTCTTTTAATAATTCATAATTATTCACATTTAAATAACTATTGTGAAAAAGTTTTCAACGTGATACTTAATAAAGAAAGACGATATGTTAATATTGCATTAAATGGAAAGAGTCAATGAAAGATACATTTAAATGGATAAGCAGGCACAACTGTAATAAAGGAATTCATGAAATACAAAGGCTCAAGTAATATCATATATGGTATATGCCTTTCCATAGACCATAAACTTCACAAAAATCGTTGATTTAAAAAGCCATAGTTTTCTCATAATTTATTGTTATGTGAAGACATCCACCACTTTTTCTTCATGTATTGGAGCTGCAGATAAGAAGTTCAACAAGAAAGAAGACTCAAGAAAATGTATTCAGACAAGTGAAATCAACCTAACTAATTGTTCATTGTTTTTGAAATTTATGCCTAATACTGAATCAATATGTACACAATTATTCCAAGTGGCTCAGTGTAAAATGAAGGTTTCTTTGAATATAAAAAGGCAGCAAAAATAGAGTTCACAGATTTTAAATCTTCTAAGTCTAAACATCCAGGAGTACCTGTCATTGCATAAGAAGTGCATTACATCAGGTAGGTTAGTCAAGCACAGGGATTTAGAATTTCAATTGGGTATTAAATATCAGCACCGATATTAATGTTGTTCTGTGTCCAAAAGTTGTCTCTAATAGTTGTTTCAAGCTTTCAGCATTAATTATCAGCACAAGTAATTCGTCAGAAGTGCAGTACTTGTATTTGAAATGTCTTATATGTAGATCAAGAGAGATGGTGGAGGAATTTCTTTCTTGGTGATTGCTTTCTTGCTGTCAAATTCTTTGTAGGTGATCAGCGCTTCTGAAGAATGTAGTATTGATTTCTTCCTTGCTTCAAATTGTATCATGAATAATAATGATTCGTCTTACACAGTAATTGCTGATTAGAATTACCATCACTGGTGAATGAAAGGAACTCTGAGAAAATATGAAAAGAAAATTCCAGTGTTTTGTCGTCAGTTCTTATTCATTTGATTATGTGTATTGTGAAGAGTGGCTGCTGTTCAATTTGGGGGCTCCAGGAGTTCTGCTGTAAAATATCCTCTTCTACTGAAATGACTGCTATTATTTCAAACTGGCAGAAGCATTTAATCAATAGATTGTATCGGGGTTAGTTTGGTAGTTACTACTTATAGTAGATAGTTGGGCATAGAGAATTATCCAGAGATTAAAAACAGCATTTTTCTCAAAGTTGGAGTGTATTGAAAGCAGTTCCTATGTGTTACGGTTTTCCTTTTACAAGTTGAAGGTAATTTGAAAAATAAGGGCATTTGAGGAAAATGCTTTAGTATTAAAGATAAAGATTTGACTTTCAGTCATTGGATTATCTTGTGATGTGCATAGCTAGAATTCTTGAAAGCATTATTTTTATAATTGATACATCTCTATTTATTTTCTACAACGGTGTGTATGAAACTTAATATTCTTTCCTCGTTCAAGCTATTTTTGGAGCAAGGAAGTGTGATCAATTGTAGCTCCCTGGATATAAAAAGGAGATATTGTGGAATGAATACTTTCACATTATGCAAGTCCTTAGGCCACAATTATTACTGCAGTGGAACAAAGTGAAGAAAAGAGCATTGTACACAGAGTATAAAAGATGAAATAATTTAGTGTGGAATGATATCATCAACTGTATGGAAGTTCCTTTGAATAATCATCATCCTGGGATTCTCAGATGTAACATACATTTTGAAGAATTCACAGTAGTTGGAAAACAAGATTTCCAAATGACACAATGTGTAAAAGCACCCAAGTGATCAAGGGATAGAAGGGGAATAAATTGCCCTTACTTTTTGAAGTACCGGTGTATTTATGATCTTCTCCATGATGTGTGCATATTTAGGTACTGTGAATAAAAGGTTGATTTTGACAAACATCGAAATTTACAGAGTGGTTACAAAGGGATTGAAAAAAAACTTCCAGACCAAATTTGCATGAATTAGGACATACTTCTTATGCCCGAATGTTCTTGTGTAAAGAAAAATAATTTATTTTTCCTCCATGAATGTTCTTCGTTGGATTTCTTTAAACCTTTCAGGTAATGAAAAATTACAAAATTCTATGTTTGTCCAATTACGTGGAATTGAATGAAATGAGTTCATATAGTTTTTACACAAACGTCAATAACCTAATGAAAATGTGTTAGAAGATAGACACTTTATTGTGTTCATGATAAAATTGAGGAATCTTGAATGTTGTACTTCCATAACAAATATCTGACAAGTGTGTCTGTTTATCTTTAACTTTTCAATAAAATCTTTCAGGTAATTCAGTATTACAAAAGAGTATAAAATCGGGAGAAATAACAGATGGTTGTTAGGGCTGGCAGTCGCTAATATTCCTTTTCTGGAAGAGATTTACAAATTTTAATGTATTGGTATTTTTTTCTGCTCTTTCTTTTGTAGTGTTATTAATTTAGAAACTAAAGCAAGTTGGTCTCATCAGTTGGTCTTCAGAAAGGATTTCTTTGGTAAATTTAGAAACCATTAATGATGAGTGCTAGTTTACTATGTAAAGGGGTTTAAGTTAACAGGCTGTGGCTTTTTTGCTATATAACATGAAACAGTGAAGCAATTATTAAGGCATTGTGTCGAAGTGAAATATATCTTGCAAACAAATGGTAATAAGTTTCCAATTATGTTGGAATTTGTTATGTGAAGCTTTGTATAATGCAATTCTAATAGTGCAACAAAAATTCTAATTATCTATACTAAAGGTGAAATTATTTTGATGTAAAATGTTTAATTTTGTAAATTTGATAAATACTTGTTTTTATTTCTTTTTACCAAGTGTAAGCAGTTTGTTTCCTATATTCATATTAACCTCTGTCTCAGGTGTGTAGAAGTACATGGCTAGTTTTTGTACAACTTTTAGTTTTGCATTGTGTGTTCTTTAACATTTTTCTAGTTTTCTAAAACATGAAGTAGGAGTGATAAAAAGGCTCATACATTATTTAAATTATCCATTGTAGATTCACGACTCTGTAGTTCAATGTTGCAAGTTGAGATCAAGGGATTTAGTAAGTAATTAAAACAATATGTTCGTCAACATTTCGAAATATTTTATTCCATCATCAGGGGTTACTTTTCAGAAGATACAAAATAATTCATAACATTTTTGTGACACAGAAAGCACAACTCCCAAGCACATACACATCCAGTGCAAATGTGTCAAAGCACACATTTCCATCACATCTGAATATCTCAATTATGTTCTGTAATGCCTTAGCCTATAGAGGATGTGTGTGGGATGGTCTCTCATCCGGTAATCACTCCTTGTGTATGTGGTAGTAATTAGGTAATTAAAATTATTTAACTGAAAACATTTTATTTCATAGCAACAATTAGACCTGATGTGTGCTTCCTGTTATGATGTAATCTTGGTGAAGCTGCCGCTTTTAACATGATTTCACATTTTTCATTACTCCAAAAATGAATATTTGAATGGCGCTGCATTTAAGTTGTTCTGATTTGTATGGTTTGACGTATCTTGGTTGCAGTAATCTTCAAATTTTATGAAAGCATGAAATACACTGTAATAATTCTTATTATTATTATTATTATTTTATATATATATATATATATAATTTAGGTGTGATCATTAGGGGATGATTGATCAAAACCAGTTTGGTATGTTCTTGATGTAATAGA